TCATTTTTGTTGGAATTTCCTTTCCTTGCCAGAATATTGAAAGACAATTTCAGAGACAGGCAATTGTCTGGGACATATGAATTCAAAATATTATTTGATCAATTACTCATAGTCTAATCCAAAAGTTCCTAACAAGTGCCAACTGACAGTTTCCAGTCCATTAATGGAAAATAAATAAAGTAAGCAATCCCAAAACAAAATAAACTAAATTGACTCAAATATTGTTTATTCTTTATCTTATATTTTGTACCCCCTTTTGGCCTGAGAAAAAGTGAATGTACTGGCCTGTCTCTCATAAAAAGTGTTCTTTAAGTACTGCAAAGCACATTTTAAGGTCCTAATCATAATTCAGTTCTAGCTGACTTGTATTTGCTGTCAGTACCCTGGAACCCCACAAACAAAGGCCATAACAGAAGGTAAAATAACATGGTTCGTACCGATTTTAAGATAAAAAATTCTAGACTTTTCCAAACTTTTTTCCAAAACAATAATTTATTTTCCCCAAATCAAGGTTAACAAAAAGGTGATCAATAGAGACTTAAAAAAAATGCAGGAATGAAGTTTTTTTTCATGATGCACTGCAAACGTACACAGTAACCAGTGCAATGCGGACATACTGTAAGACAGTTCTGAAACTTCTCATCATATTGTGATGGTCTTAACTACCGGTGAGATTGAATGGAAATTGACCATGGAAAACCTCAATTATTCACGTGTTGTAGCTGTTAAAAATAAATTCCAGACTTTTCTTATCCAGGCTTTTTCCAGGTCTGAAGAATTGCTTTGCAAGTGTCAAGACTTTTTCAAGAATCCAGGACTCTGTATGAATCCTATTATAATAATACTATACATGGGAGAATTTCTTTTAAATAACTTGCAAGCAAAAAAAGTTACCTTAATTCTTGTTCTTCAGCACGACTGACTTTCCTTTGCACCCTCTTTTTCTTGGCATCATCTGTTTGGTATCTCTTGAGTCTCTTCATTCTTTCCTCATGATCATGTCTGCACTTTAAAATAAAAAAAAGGGAGAGAGAGTGAGAAACATATTAGTTTTATGGAGCACAGAGGGGAAACTATGAAAAGCTGATAAATAAAGCAAAACTGTGAAAACAATATACATGTCTTTTGAGTATACAATTTTAACGAGCAAAGGAAAGGAAAAACAGTATCTTTTTCTCTAAAATTATGAAACAAAAATTTATCCTCACACCCTCACTAACGCAAACAACAGCATTCATATCAAAAACATTTTTACATGTACTAACATTTTATTGCACAAACACATACCATCTCTTGAATTCCGTCAAATATTGGAAGACCCATCTTTGAATAGAGTTCAATGATCCAGTGATAATGTGGTCCTTTATTCTTGAAGCACCACGTCATGTTTGCTTGGAGAAGTCCAAGATTTGTGGATGCCTGATAGTGCTTTTGATGTAGGTTGGGGTCCTTGGCCCGAAATTTAGTTAGGACACTGAATGTCGATTCGGGAAGATTTGAATGACCCTTTCCTAACTCAGGATCTATGACCTTTTCTGCATTTTTTGCCCTCTCAGCACATTCTATCTCATATGCAANTTTGGTATCTCTTGAGTCTCTTCATTCTTTCCTCATGATCATGTCTGCACTTTAAAATAAAAAAAAGGGAGAGAGAGTGAGAAACATATTAGTTTTATGGAGCACAGAGGGGAAACTATGAAAAGCTGATAAATAAAGCAAAACTGTGAAAACAATATACATGTCTTTTGAGTATACAATTTTAACGAGCAAAGGAAAGGAAAAACAGTATCTTTTTCTCTAAAATTATGAAACAAAAATTTATCCTCACACCCTCACTAACGCAAACAACAGCATTCATATCAAAAACATTTTTACATGTACTAACATTTTATTGCACAAACACATACCATCTCTTGAATTCCGTCAAATATTGGAAGACCCATCTTTGAATAGAGTTCAATGATCCAGTGATAATGTGGTCCTTTATTCTTGAAGCACCACGTCATGTTTGCTTGGAGAAGTCCAAGATTTGTGGATGCCTGATAGTGCTTTTGATGTAGGTTGGGGTCCTTGGCCCGAAATTTAGTTAGGACACTGAATGTCGATTCGGGAAGATTTGAATGACCCTTTCCTAACTCAGGATCTATGACCTTTTCTGCATTTTTTGCCCTCTCAGCACATTCTATCTCATATGCAAGTCCATGAAGGTCACATTTCAAGACATGAGCAGAGTGATATGGCTGGCCTTGGCATTTCATGTCTGGGTAAAACCCACTCTCATCTGCCTTGCACTCCTTACAACTACATTTAACCAAAGGATGAAAAGAACAAAATCCCCCTTCCCACTCATGAATGTCCCTGCTATGGTATTTGCCAAGAGTCAGCATAGTTTCTCTGTATTTATCAGGGCTAGTACCAGCATCAACTAATGCACAGTAATGGTTCCGCTTGGCATTTTGTATAAAGCCTGGGCCAATACAACCACAAACAGGTTTGTCCTTTTTAGCAACAAAAGTATGCTTTTTGCCAGCACAACAGCACTTCACTGATTTAACTGCAGGAAAGTCTGATTTGTGCAAGGCGATGAACCCTTCACTAAATGAAGACATGGTTTTTAACTCTTCAAGCCTTTTACCATGCGCCCTGCCAACGTGACCCCCACACAACATTACTTTAGACTCTTGTTCATTTGGAAAAGAATACCGAAATCCTTTGGCAGATGAGGAATCTGCGTCCTGCCAATTGATAGCCACTTTCAGGCCTTCATCCTTAGCCTTAGCCCAAAGGATCTGACTAAGGTGGCCCTCTGATGACTTGGCAGTACCTTGCCATAGTTCCTCATCACAAATTCTGTCTGCACCTCTCATAGACAAATGCCCATAATAAAGAGGGGCACCTGTGATGTAATTTTTTATAACAAAGGTGTAATTTTGACTGAAGTGCCCCCTTATTAGCCAGCATCCCAGAATCCTGTGCGCAAAACATGGGTCTCCGATTACTGGAAAATCATTCATTGAAAAAAGTTCTTTCAAGACCACATCTAGTGGGGACTGAACGTAAACCTTACTGTTAAAAACGATCTTCTGTTCTTTGCCAGTTCGGGATTCTTATCAACGGGATCATTCCTCGTTACCAGTCGTCTGTAAACCTGAAGAAGGCTGGTATGGCCAGCCGAAATATTGTTATAAAAAACAATACACCTTGTTTTAAATCAGTTTTGCTGTAGTCTTCGGACTTCTCGTTCTTGGTCCTCGGATGTGACGTCACTTGTCAAGCTTATCGGTAACATTCGTGATCAGTTCCAAGCCTCCTCTGTTAACTCGAATAGCGTAACTGAGCTGTTGATGAGGCTGTCAATTTGGATAACCCAGACCAAAACAAACCAATAACCAACGGTGTCCAGATTCAAGTCCACGTGACATGAACCAAGGAACACAAGGGTTTCATTATATTTTTTGCTAAACAGTAGCACTGATGGTTCGTGGCATGAAAAAGTGCTGGAATAAATTATCCCAGATCGTACAGTTTATAGGACGACCTTTATCGAATCAGCTGTATAGTCATGAGGACAATTAACTGCAAACCAGTTTTCATGCTAATTAACTGATTTTAAGCGTGTACAAGATTTTTGTGTAGTTAAACGAGAAAATGTGTGAACGTTTTATGTATATTAACAATTTGTATTCATTATCTTTTTTGACTGCGGTTTTATATATCTTACCTTAAAAATTAAAAACTTTAAGAAAAGGTTTGTTTTAACGACAGTTACATTTCCTTGTAATTTGGTGCACCTATACTGCCGATATTTGGTGGGAAAACTTAATGATCTTAAAAAGAGATTATCATCTTATGAATAGACTTCAAATTGTGTGCATTTAAATCTCATTCCTTTAATCTTTTGACGACCGTCAGCGAGTAGAGAAAGAAACGTCTTTTTCACCCATTCCCCTTTTTTGGACTGGTTTTCTACCAATTAGCATGAGAATGGGTAAAAATGAGTTTTGCACCAATAAGGGCACATTTTCCGACAAATAGACATGCACATAAGCCAAAATTTGGAGTTCTTTCCAATTTTCGCATCTATTTCGATCTTTCTTTCTCGCTGTCTTCTCTCTCTCTGCCTTTCTTTTTTTATAGCGAGTTTTTTTGCCCACTTAACTACCGTGCTTGAAAAAGCTCCCTCACCTTTAGTTCATAGCCACTCTGTGTCCTACGGCCGGTTTAAACGCCGTTTAGTCGACTTTCTTTCCATCGAGTACTGAACACTACCAGTACTCGATGGAAAGAAAGTCAACTAAATGGCATTTAAACCGGCCGTAGGACACAGAGTGGCTATGAACTAAAGGTAAGGGAGCTTTTTGAATCAATATTTCGCGTGATCATGATTTTTTTTTTCTTAGCGTTGTAGATTCGAATACATGAGATAAAATTCGAACATTAAGGGCCCGAATCACATGTAATAATGCAAGAAATATCGACCTTCGTCATCTTAAAGGCTACTAGTACAGATACACAAACAAGAAGACTTCATATCTTTAAGATTTTTGCGTTTATTTAGCATCAGATAATACACTAATAATTCTAGTATATTCCGACCAAATGACATCTGAAGCCCGAACCCGCACACATGGTGCGCTTGGGCTGCCTGTGGTGAAAATTGCAAACCTTTTGTGTGTAGTAGTATAAACAAACAAGAATCGCCGAAAGGCGATTTTTAACTGGGCTGCCAAAGGGGCTATTTTTTCTGAGGAGAGGGGGCGGCTATACACACTCAGGCTACCATAAAACCTTGTCGGCAACCATTGCATGCGACAGAACCTCATGTGAGACTGAAACATAAACTCATTCAGAACACTGTACCCTTTTGAAAGACTTTCGTAACCAAAAAAAAGAGTACCATTTTTAAGTGGGGGCTGTATAATAACTTTTAAATTCCACCATTATGAATAAAAATAGACAAGTTAGCCATTAATTCTAAGCAGGAAACAATTTGCATTACTTCCACGTACTCCTCCCCTAATCCCCCTGTGCCCCAAAATATAGCGTGACAGTATAACGTGAACTAATTTGACGTAACTGGAAATTCCAAAAATAATTGTCGTTCTACGAGTATAATGAGCTGATTTGCACGTGTACTAGACAGAGATATTGTGTTGTATGAAAACCAAAAGTATACTAAAACAGACAGTTAACCGCCCATTGATCTCGCCTGATCCAGGGGCCTCACTAGTGAACTTACGCAACAGGACGGGAGACGAAAGAAGACGACAAACCTTGTATGACAACCGTGACAACAAATTTGTTTCAAATAACTTTTCGCCAACCATCACTTTCCTTTAAACAGATCTTTTTGTAAAAACCAGAAAACATTAATGCTGAGTGAAGATCACGACATAACATGCAAGTTATAGCCCTGTCACGTTTGTCACACACAAACATTTTGCCGTCCTCTTCTTCCTGACGTCCTATTGCGTAAACTCACTACTGACTGCACGGAGACTTTACTGCGCTTTTCACAAGCATGCGAACTCTAAAGTTCAAAAGCCACCTTCACAATTGTGTTTATCGCTGCCGTCAATCATAATTACGATCACAAGCAACGAACCTTGAAACAGAGACACACACAAAATGGATCGAAATCCACAAATCACAAACCATGACCTTTTGAACCCGTGAAGTAAAGTTTTGTTTCCTAAGAGGTCCGTTAAGATGATTGACAGCAGCGAAAAACGCAATCGTCGGTTGGCTTCTGAACTTCAGAATTCGCATGTTTGTGAAAAGTGCGATCCTAATTTGCGGTCCACAGTCTACAAGAAAACGCATTATTTTTTCCACAAGAAGAAAAATATTCAGTTTTAAGATTTTCCTCATGGTATTTTCCTCTAACTTAAAGGAATAAAATCCTTTGCATTTTGAGACCTAAAAAAGTTTAAAGATTTCTCGCTCGCATGTTGCGTTCACCAGCACGCACTTCAAACAATGT